TGGTTCGGTCTATATAACACATAGCATACATATAACACAATCCACATAAATCTCAACATACACATACATATAAGACCCTCCGGTCTGCATATAGATACCACTCGAGGTAATGTATAATGAGAAGACTCACCTCGTACGATGTTGGAAAATCTCTAGCTCGATAACTCGACCTAGCCTCCTCCTCCTATCAAAATAACACCTCTAATCAATACTTTCTCTAGTCCGCATCCCTAAAGATTAGGTAGAAGACCATTCTACCCATTCCTAGCCTCTCTAGATTCAGCTTGACCAAAACCCTAAGGTCAACTGAAGTCAACTCTAGTCAACGGTTAAACTTTGACCAGACTCGTCGAGTGCACTCGCGTGACTTAGCGAGTTCATGCATGTCCTCTGAATCCTCATAAAGCCTCACTCGACTCGTCGAGTTAACCTTTCACTCGACAGGTTACCACTGGACACGAATCATGGGGCAACCCGACTCGACTCGTCGAGTCCCCTTATGGACTTGGCGAGTTCCTTCCATGGCAATACTCATATGAACTTCTGAGGTCAGATTTGCTTCTCCAAACTATAGATATGACCTTCCAATACACAATAATTACGTAAAGGTCCAACCTTTTCACTCATGCAACACTCATAAGGCTTCTTTTGGTTAAATAGCTTCTAAAATGGCAACCTAGGTTCATATCTCCAAAGGAATAACATAAAGCAGGATAGATAGGACTCTCTGGACCTCTTAAGGTATAGATCTGAAAAAAATTCCACCTTGGGACCTCATATGCTTTGAAATTAAGCTAAAGAAGGCATAAGAAAACCCTAGATTCAAGTAGATCACCATGTACACGAGAATGAGCATACATTTATACCTCTAGCAGCCTCTTCTAATCAAATGGAAATAGATTTGAGCTCCTCAATTTTCCCAGCTTTCCCTCCTTCCTTCTTTCTTGGAAGATCACTCACAATGCTCTCAGGTTCACTGGTGCTCTCAAGGGTGAAGGTGGCTGCAAATGAGGGCCATAAGGTCCCTTAAATAGGGCACATGCCCGGGGATTTAGGGTTTCCGTCCACAACGCGGACTCATCGAGTCCATTTATTAAATCCAGTTAGCAATCATGATCCTACTCGACGAGTCTAGGCATCAACTCGTCGAGTCCCTCTTCTTGAAACAAACTAAATAATTGAAATATGATACCTGGAATTCCGGATGATACAATATATCATTCCTTTATTATATAAGCTTACGAGTAACATACACAAGCATTCAAATAGCGCTAAAATTACACTATCAAGAATCCCATTAACATATCCAACAATGGCAACTTAAACCTTTTGTAAACAGAACCATATTTGAGAAAGAAATACAATATGATGTGCATATGGGTGGTGAAAGTATGAAAATGTTTCATGACATATGGGAAATAATAAATATGGTACACCAACAAAAAGTAGCAATAATTTCAACTGTTTCTACATCTCCTAACTTTGTAAGTAGAGATATCATACAACTATATATTGTTAAAGTAATCAAGAGAGCCAATAAACAAGAAACATCATTGGAGAAGGTTTTGATGGTGCTTGAGGGTATAGTGAAGTTATCACTACTTCAGAAGTTCTGGCAAATAGAAATCTCAATGTATTTTTCCCCGTGTTACCCTAATATATATATATATATATATATATATATATATATATATATAATTGTTTTTTTGTCATATTTTTTGCTATATTTTGAATTTGTTATCCACTTTTAAATAGGAAAAGAAATATTATTCTTAATGTAAAAGCAAACGAAAAACTTCCTAGAACTACCCAACTAATTTTTGTAAGAATATAATTCAATGTTAACACTCTTGCATATCTAATAATATTATCGATAATAAATGTTTAATAATCATAAGAAATGTAAAGCAAAATTGATTTTCAAGATGCAAATATACAAATAAAAGTTTAGTAGACCTTCTTAGAAGTTATGTAAGCATTAAAATCAGTGAAACCTAAGGCAGTTGGTATATATAACACAAAAACTATTTAAAGAGCCTAGATGTACGAAAAAAATACTTTCATGATTATTCTAGAAATGGAAAAAGTTGATTGATGAAGTTCAACTAAAATGTCAAGAACATATATTTAGGCATAAAACTTATTCATAATATGGTATGTTCTTTAGGCATAAATATATTTAAGCATAAAACTTATTCATCATATGGTATGTCTAGTGAGAAGGTCGCTTACTAGAGACATATATTTGGTGGTGTGTGCAAACTTGTAGTTGATTTAAGGTAGTCATTACATATAACACAAAAACTATTTCTAGATGTACAGAAAAAAAAACTTCCATGACCATTTTGGAATGGAAAAAGTTGATTGATTACATTCAACTCAGATATCAAGAACATGTTAGGCATATAAACGTATTCGATGCACGACGGTCTCAAGGTAAAACAATACAATATGTCTGGTGGGAAGGTCGTTCATTGGGGACATATATTTGGTGTTGCGTGCAAACTTATAATTGATTTGGTTGCTTAATATATTTGGTGTCAAGTTTATTAAACTATTTCCAGTATGATAGAATCAAATCATGTTCTCAAAAGTTTTTCTTACTTGCTATCAATCCCTGTAATGTAAAAAAGTAAAATAATTTTATGTTTTAATTTGAAAAAAACCAAAGTAGTTATTTTTGATATATACTTAAGAATTTTGAAACACCACGAATTAAACTCTAACATATATGAACAAGCTATAAAACGGCAAAAAATAAGCGTCAATCTTTAAGTCTTTCATGCATTCATCAAGAAAATATATCTTCTTGTTGATCCTTTCACCAAGAAAGTTGACCAACTCCATTAAGTACGGAACAAGCTTGGTATGAAGTGTGATTGACTTGTATAGTAAAACTTCTGCCATTGACGTACTTGAAGAGAATAGATAAGAACGAATAGTCTCTAGTATATGTAACTGCTCATCAAAACCTTTGATGGTTTCTTCTAACGAAGTTGTTGTAATTTTTCTCCGTTCCAGATCGTATGCGATATTTTTGTGTATGAAAAGCATAACTTCTTTTTTAAGCAGAAAGTATGCGCGGGTGTATAAAAGATTTTGTGAGATGACATGAAGAAAATGGAAACTAATTTTCTTTGTTAAAAGCTTATGATATTTTAAAACTTCCAAAATATTATAAGTGGGTTTAAAAACCTTTTTGAGTTGTTTAAAGTACTATTTCAAACTAACCCATACGAGTGGTGTTTCATACACTTACCAGGAAAGAAAACCCTAAGTGAGAAAAGGTTACATATTTGTAGATAGATATGGTATTTGTAACATCTCAAAAATACGGATAAAATTTTGCTTTTAATTTCACTCAAATCACACGACATTAATATCAAAATAGACAAAAGAGTATCATAGTAACATGTTATCAGAGTATAAATTCCCAAAATAACTAAGTGCAGAAAACATAGGGTGATGTGGTGTGATCAAGCCGAGCCTTTCCCCTTCAAACTAGAATACCTGAAACATAAACTAAAAACTATAAGCACAAAGCTTAGCGAGTTCCCCCAAAATACCACATACTAAATAAACATACTGCCAAGCATAGCTGGGTGTTTGCCTACCCCTTCGATCTATTTCAATCGGATACTATCAAGCATATATGGGTGCTTGCAATCCCCTTCAGTTTATTTCAACCGGATACCGGGTCTATCTCATCCCATACTACTACCACATAATATAATAACAGAAATCATAGAGTCACCAAGAAAATACAAGCATAACTGACAATTATCACAAAGACAATCATCACACTACATCATAAACTAGTGGGCTAGCATTGGTGCCTTCGACCCACAGATACTGCGAATGAAGACTCACCTCAGACTGAAGATATGAAATCACACTCGACAAATGACTCACGAAAACATCTTCCTAACGCACAAGCATAAAACCCTTATTAGAAATTAGGCCACACTCTAACTCAAAGGTCCAAACCCTAATTCTTGACTAAAGGTAAAAACCGCTCCTTTATCCTTGCCTTGATGGGCCTCCCTCCTCCCTAAGGCCTAAATCCATTAAAAAGCCCAAAAAGACATCCAAGCCTAACTACAAGGCCTTTAAGGCCCAATATGGCCAAAGAACACCTAACATGGTCTTAGTTAAAACATTAAACCAATTTCGATTTGAAAAAGTTGATCCTTACTTTACCCATTCAACTTTCGTGTTATGTCGTGAAAATAAATTTACTTAAAACGGGTTGAAACCTTTAACTCGGACTAATATATTACATGCTAATGTTTAAGGTTGAGGCATTATAATCGTGTCCTATCACATTAATGAAGATATTTAATGGGTTAAAAAATTTGATACTAACATTATTATCTATTTATTTTTCATGTCATGCCATAGGAACTTGTATATTTAAAGGTTTAGACATTACAATCGTGTTGTTTGCCAATGAGATAGATGAAACCGAATCCGAATGCATATCCTGGGAGAAAATTAAGACACTAACATTATTTGACCGATTCGTGAATTAGATTACTGATATAAGTGAATGACGAGTCACACATGAGAACACTTGATAAATAATTGTCCCACGTATGATGTTATGTACAAAATCTCAAGAAACCGACCATAAAAAACTAAATATATACAAACACATTAAAGACTAAATGCTTACCAACTGAAAGTTATATTATCCAATTAAATAATTTTTCCGAATAATAATCTGGAATAACCGATTATAAACACCAAATATGAAAAATAAATAAATAAAATGATCAAACATGCAAATTTTTTTTTTTTATAATAACTAAATACATATAATAGCAGTCAATAAAAAATATATTATCCAATTAAAATATTATCCTTAATTTATATATTAGGTTAAGGTATCATATCACATTTTGATTTTGATAGGTGTAGGTGTGGATAAAGTTTGAAAGAAGTGGATGGTAATACACGCTCTTAAGAACGCGTGAAGAAAGGTATCCATGGAGATAAAACTTCTCTCCCACACGAATTAGGCCCTCTCTGTACGACTGCGCGCATTACGCACCCTTCTCTCTCCTTTTCCCTTTTTTAGGTTTAAGCCAAAGCTAATTTTACATTAATACCCTCCACCTCATATATATTTCGCAATTTGATTTTATTTTCTTTATATTTTTTTTCAAATAAAAATTAAGAACAACCAAACCCTAGAAGATACAAAACACAAATCGGTGATCCCAGAGTTAAACAAACATCAATTCATCTTAATAACAACTCATCGATACAAATTCATATCCGAATTTGAAGAAAAAGGTTAGTGATTTTGTTAATTGTCTTGTTTTGATTCTTTCCCCAATTTAGTGGTTTTTGTTTCAATCGTTTGTGCAATTTATTCAATTTTATTTTCTGTAGTTTATACTGCTTAATTTTTTATTTTTTTTCGATGATTGAAGTTATTGCTGTATATCTTGTTGATTGTTTTGCTTAATGAGTCTAGGTTTTGGGGGATTAAAGTCAAGTATTTATATTTATCAAATTTAAATACTTGACGCTTTGATTCGATCATGCTTTTTGCTGTAGAGGTAATTCCGATGTATTCTGATGATATTTTAACTTCTTATTGCTAAATTCTTCTTGGTATAAGGATTAACAGATTCTCTGTTCGTTGCTTTCAATCACTTGTTTATAGTTTCATCATCTTCAAATCGTAGATTCTTTCCTATCTTTCTGTTTTCTTTTCTTCTAATCTAGTTTATACAAAGATCTGCGTTGATTTAAAATAAATTGCGACAGTTGTAAATTTATGTAATATCTGCTAATCTGGATTGATAAACAGAAGTTCCGGATCTTTATCCCTTGTATACATAACAACTAACAATTGATCTGTGTTTTCACATGTTCTTTTTGCTTTTCTTATCGATCTTGTTTCTGATGTTAGATTCTTCTTCTTTTCTTTGTTGTTGCAGGTTTTGTGTAATATCCATTCCATTCACAAGAATTAAAACTACAATGAGGTTCAAAAAAGGTAGCAAAGTGGAGGTTATGAACAATGTGAGTTACTATGATTATGAAGGTGTGGAAAAGGTATCTAGGAGGTTCATTAAGCCATGTGTAAGAAAGAAGATTGGTTCAAAGATCTGTGAGGAAGAAGATGATGCTTCTAGGAAACAAAAGAGAGCTTCCCCTTTTTGTTCATCTGTTCACGAATCAAGTCAAAAAGTCAAACCTGGGAGTCAAAGAAGATATGTTTCATGCGATTCTTATAAAAAGGTAGATAATAACAACAATAGTTTAAATGGTTATTATGATGAAATGGAGAAAAGAAAAAGAAAAAGAAAAAGAAATGGTGTTTCAAGAATATCAGAACCTAATGATGAGTCTGATACTGATAGTGACCAATGCTCTGTTGGTAGTTGTAGTGTTGTTCCTAATCCTAGTGATGATAATAGTGATGGGGAGTCTTTGAATATTTCAAGTGATGACGTGGCAGTGAGTATTCATAGGTTAGAGTTGCATGCTTATCGATCCACTTTGGAGGCATTATATGCTTCTGGCCCATTAAGTTGGGAAAAAGAAGCATTATTGACAAATCTTCGAATTAATCTCCATATTTCAAATGATGAACATTTGATAGAGCTAAGGCATTTAATTTCTTCTGGAGTCAATTGACTCATATTTTCTTTTTCTTTTTCTTTTTATCAAGATTAGGGTTTTCTTGTACAATTCCAATAAAGATGTAAGAAGTAATATAAGATGTTAGCCAAATCCGTTTCGATTTTGTAATTAGTCATGCAATGTATTTCATGAGATGAAAATTGAAATCAAGATCCCATCTTGTTATATGATTATTATTATTATTATTTTCTTTTATAATGTTTAATTAATAATGGATGGTGTACGTTTTCCAGAGTTACAAAATTGGAGGCATGCATCTTTTGCTTCCAAAGATCCAAAACAAGATTCTGATTCTGCTGCCTTTCTGTTGGAAAAAAAGTTTTGCAGGATCCATTTGCATTTGCTACTACAGATAAGATATAGTTTTTTGTATCTTAGTATAATTAAGATATAGTTTTGCAGGTTCTAAGTGTGATATGATATCAAACAGTCTGAATCTAATCTTTACCAGACTCGGTAAGAGGAATAGAAACACAACAAACACATTATTTGGGCACTTGTGGGCCATGAATCATCAAATTGTGGTAACTTTATGTGACACATTTATTTGTTGATCATGATGGATTTGATGTTATCTTTATTGCTTTTGAGGATCTTTTTTATCCTTTTATGGCAGGGAGGTGATAGGTTGTTATTAATGGTAACTCTTGATTACCAAATGTTGATGATGAATAGGGATGTTGTGTGTTTCGAGATGATGATGATGGAATAAACGTGTATTCCAAGTTAGTTTGAATGATGGAACAACATTTGTTTATGGGATATGATTGTGGGAAAAAGGAACACTTTCTGTTATAGGATGACAAGTGTGTTCTAAGTTGGGGAGGATACATATGTATACAAGCTATTAATTATATAAAAGAATATTGCATAATGTTTAAATGGTTCATTCTTATTATTGTTATCATTAATGACATGAAAACTTGTGGAACTCATTATAATTTCAAGTTTGCTTTGTATGGTAGAGTGACATGCTGGACCAGAAGGGATGTCCCATATCGCATTTGGGTACCGCAAATAAATGCCATTCCGGGTGTTTAGGTACCGCAATTTTCATCCTCTCTGCATTAGATGGTTGTAATATATTGCTTTGGTGCTTGTAAATTTTCTATGTTTGACTAAATGAGAAAAATAGATAATACGATTCTGATGTGGAAGAGAGGATGCTAGGAATGGAAATGATCCATACGATAAATCAAGTAATTGTGTTGTGTTTTTGTCTGACACGATAAATTTTATTTAACATGATGCAATGGTTTTTGTACTAACACGGAAGCGATTCAATTAAGCAAACACGACACAACGATGATGTAAAATAATCATCAGTTTATTTAGATCATATTTAATGATGCAAAACATGACAAATACGATAAATACGAAAAACATAAATACGAAAAACATGACAACCACAATTAATATCGTGTCGAACTTTTAGCACAAACATGACATCGTGTCGTGTTTTCTAAACTAGGTACAAATACGACACAAATTCGAAGTAAAATTGTCTAAATTTCGTTTTGTTTCATGTATTTTTATCGTGTCATGTGATCGGTTGACACTCCTAAAAGTAACGGTAAAGTAATAATGTTGGTAATGACAATTAGAGGAATAATGTATAATGGAGGTAAAAGGCAAAGTAATTAGGAGATTGCCACATAAAACAATAACATGCTTGATTGTTGTTGAATCTATGCAAAATTTGTATGCCAAGTTTTGCAAACAAACTTGATTGTTGAATCTATGCAAAATTTGTATGCAAAGCTTGTGGAAGATATAATGACTTAGGTTGGATCAATCCCCTTGAAACCTGTCATCTTTGATCAAGAAAGAGAGTTAAAAAATGTTGGTTCTTATTAGGGTTGTAAACGAACCAAAAAACAACAAATGGGTGGTTGTTTATATTCGTTTAAATTAACCGAACAAATGAACGAATATGAATGAATAAACGAATGAGTTTTCTTGTTCATGTTCGTTCGTTTAACAAATTACTTTGTTCATGTTTATTCGTTTATTTTAGTGAACATGCTAAACGAACATAAACAAATGAATCTAAATGAACAAAGACAAAGAAACGTAATTGCACATATATGAATATAAATGAACAATGTGTATTTTTAATGCATTTGTTTTAAATTTATAATTCCTATTCTATCGCATGTAAACTACACCTTACATGCAGTGAACCTGATCGAGTATAATATATGTTTGTTAAGCGAGAGTATCGAACTCAAGAGGAACAATAGTGAATTAATATTAGAATATTTAATTATAGGTTATACTAATAAAAAACAATAAAATAGGGTTTTATTATTAAATCTCAAGAAATCAATAACTAAACTAGCGATAAATTGACTAGAAACGAATCACTGGTACTTAATTAGATTAAATCTCAAAATCATGGATAATTACTTTAATGAAAAGGTCATTTATTCATTAATTACCGATTCTTAAATTGATTCATGTATTTGGTCCATACATGAATACTAATTACGCTAAAGACTTTTAATTTCATTGTTATGCCATTAATTATCCATAAATTCATTGTTCAGTTCATATCATGTAATATTCAATTTTTATTATCTGTAAAGATTACTAGAATTAAATCATGCTAAGATTAGTGATTTAAAACATGCACACACATTAAAATTCATAACTTTATTAACCTAACCCTAGGTTTTTGATTCAACACTAATCATAATTACTTTATGGTAGTAAAACAACTATGATTCATGAATATATAACTAGATTGTTCTTCTAATCATGTAAACTAAAAAAAATAGGTAATAAAGTAATGAGCTTTAACATAGATCTTCAATCAAACTTAGACATCATAAATTAGATAAGAATAAACAATTCAAATAACAATTTAATCAAAAATCGCAAGATTCATTTAATCTAAAACACAAAACTGTAAGGTCCAAATAATGGATCCTACCAGAGATCAAAAGCAAATACAATCACACAAAGCAATAATAAACACAAAAGAAGAACAAACCAAGCTTGCACACGATTATATTCAGAAAATCGTCTCGAACAACTTAATAGAAGCCGTGAACTCTAAAGGCATCAACAACCACAAAACGTCTTACTAACCCACTATATATATATATATATATATATCACATGACCGAGAACTGTTTACGATCGTAAAGTGTTTACGACCGTAAACTCCTTACTAACGTAAACTATTACAAAAACGAGCTAACAACATACTCCCTAATATTAAATCGTAAAGCTTAGACCAAACCACTAAATTGAGCTCTTCAATCTCCCCCTTGGTTTGGACTAGCTCGAAGTTAACCTTTGGTAACCACCATGACATCCGCCTGCCCCATAGCCCCATTCCACATTCGTTTGTTGAGAATCTCTGCAACCATCATTGTGTACACCTTCGCACCATCTTCAAAAATATCTTCTGCCACCAAAATCTGAAGATTGCTAAGATGATGAATATCCCATTTTTGAAACTGCAACAAATCTCTTCGATCGTAGAGTCGAATGCACCCATTTTTGAGCTTGATGACCGCAGCAGAAGTGATCTCATCAAAGACCCAACACTCCATTGCTCCGAGAGATCCGTCTTGATAGGTCTGAAGCACTGGGAATTATTTGACTTGCTTGGTTGCGGGCCACATTACAACTTGCAAAGGCTTATCAATATCATAATCAAAGACATCAGGATGCTCTTCTATGATAGACTCATCAGTTTTCATAGCTGGAAACCCTTTCTTGACTTGATCCTCAAGAAAATGCTTAAACTAAGTCACCTGAGAATTGTTTGTTAAATTGGAGAACGGAGCTCGAGATAGTTCACTCAGGTCGACTCTAGTCCATGAACTGAAGTCATGACTATCTCTATAAAGTTCAGAATTGCCACTTTTCCATAACACAATCCACATGTTGAGAGGAGCATGAAATCCCCAAGACACAATTCCAAGACCGATCACCAAAAGTATCCCTGAAGCGAACGACTTCAAGGTCAGTCACTGTAATCAAGGGTTCGTCCCAATATGCATTTTGATTAGGGTTCCTTTTAAACAATAATTGTCCTTTCTTCACTGCTTCCTCCTGAGCATTACGAATAGTTGTTGACACATGGGGGGCTTAAGGAGGCTCGTTATCAACATGACTATCAACTCCAGATGATTGACCAGTAGGCTAAACAACTGGAAAGGCTTGGACATGAAGATTAATCTTGTACTCTTTAGCAGATGTATGGTATTTATCTCCAAAGTCTTCCTCAAGCTTCTTTTTCAATTCAAAATAACTTGAAGTTAGCAGATTGAAGTGATCTTGAAGATCAGAAATCTGTTTGGACTTCAGCTCTTTATCCTTTGTAAGATCAGCTACTTGCACACCATGGATCGACTTATCAGACTGAAGTTCAGACACTTGAATACTAAGCTTTTCATTTTCAACTCGAAGTTCTGACACTTGGATATCTAGCTCAATATTTTTCTGACTCAGTACCGATATTTCTTTCTGGAGTCCGGAAATAGTTAGGTTATCTCCTCTAGAACCACCATCTCCTATTAAAACACCCTTACCACGAGTGGAAGGCGTCAAAAGTTGCTCCTCAGCCATATGTAGGGCTAATCTCTCAGAAGCATCATCACGATTAAACCGAGGAGTAGAAAAACCTGATGGAGCAGAGGGACCACCAACATCAAAAGCAGTACCCGAACCTGTAGCAAACATTTTTATTGTGGTGACACTGGTAGTAGTGGTAGTAGTAGGTGGTACTGGGAGGCTGCTAACAAGTCTTGCAATTACTTTACCCTGCCTTGGATCCATTCTTTGTCTTTTCAGTGGGGGTTGATCAGATTGTGTCATTGCAAAATCACTCACAAACGACTCTGTGATAGGAGAAACATAAACAGGAGGGGAACATCCCATAACCGTCTCCATTGGAATTGAAACACTTGCCATTTGACCTGCAGTAGGGGTTGTAGTCTCAAAAACTTCATTTGTCTCCCTTGTCTCAGTTGTCGGATGAACAACATCATCGACATTGTTGAAGATAGTGTCAAGATTATCATTTGACATCAAGTTAGCACTACTAGCTAACGAAGCAGCAATATCATCGTGATCAAAACTAGTGGGGTCAAGGTCACTAAAAGAATCATTCTTATATCCCCCAACATTCTCCCCAAACTCTACATTCATTCCTAGATCATCATCTTGAGCACGATCAAACAATTTGTCATGTTCTACAGCCACATAAGCATCAGGAGTGGGAATATCTTCATCTTCAGTACGTTCATCCTCAGAAACATCAATGACAACGTTATTTGGAGATGACTTCTCAGTAGATGCTGGTTCACAAGAGGCTTGATCAGATGAACCATAGGATTCTGTAGGTTCATCCTGTTGGAATAGTGTCTAAGGCTATAACTATATTCGGTGGTGCATGGTCCTTTTGGGTTGCCTTCACCATAGCAACTTGAAGGATGATTTGTTAAGAGAGAGTAAATATTATAAGGAATAATATTTAGCTATTTGATTAATATAAGTTATAAATTAATTGGTATTAATTTGGTGACTTAAAGAGATTAATTAAATAAGAGGGTATAAACTGTCAATTGTTTGATAGTTAGACTTTAGACTATAAATCCATTAGGATGGACTTTGGACGGTTTCTAAGAGCTTTAGGATAGCTCAAAATAGTCCATAAGGATATCTATGGAATGGATTTGGATAGCCTTAAGTGAAGATTATCCAATTAGGGTTTAGGGTGAAACCCTTAAGGAGTCTAAAGGTATAAATAGGCCCTTGGGGTGTGGAATTCGTGTACAAGCTTTCAGAACCTAAAGAAAGGAACCTCTGGCCGAATTCCATCCCCTCTCCTCTCTCCTAAATCATCTTGCTTGCTATTGGTGTTTGTGAACCATCAGAGGAGTGACAATTGTGACTCTAGAAGCTCCAAGACAAGAAGATCAACAAGGAACTCAAAGGTATGATTCTAGATCTGTATTAATGTTATTGTTTAACCTAATTAGCCATT